ATCCACAACGAAATATGACGAACCATTGTCGCACGGTGCTTTCTCCAACACTATTGGGCCCCACACCTGGTTAATTTGAGCTGTCTCGACTGCGGATTGACCCAATTTGTAGTTGAAGAAAAATATCGTCCGAAGTTGCTCTTTTGACATGCTTGAAAATCTTGGGAAAAGGGGTTTATCAAGCAATGGTGAAACGGCAATTATACCATCAGATAGCGCAAAGAATTCTCTTCAGGATGTACTACTGAGACGCAAGGGAGAATGAGTTTTTAATCAGCAATGAATGTACAAAAAATAGTAACACAAAACGCTGAGAACTTTCCGGACAACCTAATATTAGTCCGATGTCGGGCCCTTATTAAGAGGATCTCAGACGTGTTGTTCACTTTTTTCTTCACTAAGATTACCACGTTCGCTGGGGAAGTCCACCAGCATCTACAGATTCGTATTTAAACCCCACAGCTCACAAACAGTAATGGAACTCTAAGGGTCACAGAGAGGGCGAGACGTCGTGATAGCAAGTTTCTCTTCCTGCTTTCAAGCTGATGAACCCCACCTTATTGCTGATAAACTGATCAAATTTTCCTTTCACAGACTCGAGAAAGTACTCCGAGTTTCGACCGAAATTTGTCCACTTATGCAAAGTTGGCTGGAATTTACCTCGCGGGATAGTTTGCCCCTTTAGAAGAGAGTATTCCATACGTTTCGGCATGAAAAGGAATTTCTTACGTGCCGCAGATGCTAATGATCATTATGGCGCTTTCAAGTTCAATATTCCGTTGTCGGGGTCTCAGCTATCCTACAAAACACGGTTAGGCTAAATCCATTCTAAGTTTTCGGGTCGTTCGTACAAAAGTCTGTGCTCGAACAGGGTTCATTATGTTCCGTCATTTGATGCATTTCCGGGACCCGTTCCGCTATGATTGGATGGGCAAAAATTCGGCAGCTCATTCGCACGACTCTTCTTACACTGTCTGAATGGGGGGGGGAGGCATAAATAAGGAAGGCATAGAGTTCGAACGAATTCCGTCCGTCCAATTTTCCGCGATGTTTTTAGGCGGCTCTGCGGCCAGATATGCCATACTTTTCTCTGCCGCTTACTTGACGAATCCAACCTGAACTGAATCAAATTATGTCCGTGATGTTTCTAATGACTAGAAAACTTTCGATGAAACTCGACGCATGGCGCACTCACAAGCAAATAGGACTGGGATGTGCATGCTCAGAAAGCGCATTGAATTTACATATGTTTCCATGTTTTGTTTTTACGGATATTTTCAAGGCTGTCGGTACGACTTCACCGCACCTCTCTGGCTGGCATAGATCCTTCATCAATCGAACAACTTGCACCATTAGCAAAGACATTCATCGGGCCGCAACTTAGTCAGGCTCTCAAGAAAGGCATACCTTTCCCTCTCAAGGTACCTCAAGTCCTTTCTTATTTCAGTTTGGTTTAAGAAGGTAACATATTGTGATTCAAACTGACATTTCAGGACTCAATAACATTCGTCGAGCCACAACTGAAAACTCGAGACGGTTACATTGAACTCGCCACGGACTTTATTCTCAATGAGAATGCTATGAGAGCAAAAATCCATGAGACGTTTGCTGATATAAATATCTAATATTAAGTGTTTGCGTTAGTTATCGGATAGAAGCGATAGGTTTATCGTGAACTCAAGATATGTTGCATGTGTGTAAATAGTCATTATCAACGGGTTTTAATTCAAAGGCAGTAGAAAAGGCAACTCGACCACGAATATAAGATGAATATACCTGATGGTAAAGGATACTCTGCCCCGAGAAGAGGCTATGCGGCGCCTTACGTTCTTCAAGCTTCTCAGCAAGGCTTCACATGCCTGCTACCGCTCACGTCATGCAATCCCGCTCACACCGGTTTCTACTTCTCGTCCTCCCGCCCTAAGAGCAAATTTCCGAGATACTGCTTTTCTTCTTGTAGTCCCTAGTTCCAAAGCGGTAAAGAGGAAGGACGAACGATCGGCGTTCGTACGGTTGTTCCCCTGTAGCTCAGTGAGTTCAGATCTGAAAGCTATGATGTTTTCCTCTAATCATTTTCTCTGTCTCGGAAAGGGCGGAAATCCCCTGCGTTGTGAACTCTAATTCAAGTCACTCCTTCCTCTTAGAACATCCTTGAAAAATTCGTATTCGCACAGGTTCTGATTCCAAAAAATTAATGTTTTTTCATAGTGCAAGAGCGCGTGGCACTTGTCGAGACGCGCGGGGTCAAGTGATTTTCCTCAGCGATCTGCATTCAGTTGGATTCTTCTTCAAAATACGGGTCTACTTTTAGCGTAGTGCCGCATCCAGGAGAAAAAATACAAATGTTGGTCCCAACTTCACTTTTGCTCGGCTTTAACGTGACGATTATTGGCCCTCAGCGTTCATCTCGGGTCGTTTTCTTCTTCAAGTGAATTACATCAGTAATCCGAATACGAAGGAAGAGTTATTGAGATGATCCTGGTTGAGGTTTGGCAAGAAATCTTGCGGAATTACATGTTACTGAAGCTTTTATGGCTAATGGTCTTCGCAGGTCGGTCAAGCTTGGTAAAAACAGGTGCTACTATTTCATGCTCAATTGCATTTACAATTTCCTTTTTTTCATTTTCGAGCAACACCTCCTTACAGCAGGTAGCTGCCAAGTGATTAGTCTGAAGAGATAAAGATTTGAACTTGTATCGAAGAACAAACGGTCGAATCACCTCTGCCTCACGGCGGTTAGACAAACGCCTAATCATAGCCAAACGCGCTACTTGTCTGCGCCCTCTCACTTCTAGTTGTCCTCCACCTAATACTATGTGCTCGCTTCGGGAGTTTGGTATTGACGCAACACAGCTCCTTAACACGTTGACGACAATCGCGTTTTGCGGGAAAGCCCCACGTGGGATAATGGTATGCTTTCGCATGCGTCCTCCCTGAGCTACCGGTGGCTCATGTTGTTCCTCGTGGCCTCCTTTTTTGCCGCTATGTCAAATTTCGCAAAATGATAAGTCAGTCGTGTAGGGACTGCTATTTCAACCATCTCTGACCCTATTGGATGCCATCTCATGCCCCGCCCTCTGCGATCACGCCCACTTTTTGTGATTTCCAAAATGTGTCCCATAACTTCCGTTTCTAAGAATTACAATGAATTCTGCTTTTCAGACATTACAACAAGAATTCATAGGTGGTCACCGACACTTACACCCCGGCCACTCCACTTTTAAAAGCTTTGTTTTAGTGTTTAATTTCCATACCTTATCTCAACGTTGACGCTTTCAAACATACTCTTCACATATTGCTCACAGACAAGCAATTGCACAAAGATGCACAAGGCTCCGCACACTTAGCTCCGCCCACTTTAGATCGATTTTCGCGATTCCCAGCAATATTTTATTATCACTATGTATCCATATTTTATTTTCCAACCACTTGTTCACATCTGCATATTAAAACCCAAGGCGGTTAAATACTCGCACCAAAACGCACTCCGCATCCGTCCTCGCGATCATGGTGCCAAGTAACCCGCGTGTTCGAGTTTGTACCCCAAGTTCGGTGGGCAAGAAGTCCTGGCGCCAGTGGCACTCGGCTGGCGCCAGCGGCCACCCACACACTTTGGGAAGACAACAATACGAACATTCGCGACAAGGATGTCGAATAAGTTAGGTGTAGAGGTTTCTATCCAATTCGGTGTCAAAAAGATCGCTGGCGCCAATGACAAATGAGATCTTCGTTCATGATCAAAGACCCGCGCAGTCCCTGCAGCCAAGGTTTCGTCCAGAGAAAAAAAACAACTATTTGGAGGTACTCAGCCTACACAGGTAGCTACTTAGAAATTTTCAATTTCTAGTTGAAAATATCTCATGGGGGCAGCAACATTTTTCTTGCTCATCTTTGTTGAATACTCACCATCCACAGGTTACTCGAAAGCAAGAAAGATCGATTGGAACTGCCGGCAATGGTTGTCACACCGATCATCTCAGTCGTTGGCGTCGCTCGCGCCAGTGGAGGAGCGAGGTGGTCGTGGCGGCCGCGGCGTACGTGTTCGTGTTGCGTGGCGTCAAATGTAAAGGCGATGATCCCTTAATCATTGCGCGCCAAGCAACAAAATCTCACACAACACTCGCACCACCAAAGAAGCCAACTTTTTAGGAAAATCGCGGCTGCACCTTTCCTATTTACCGCATGATCTTTCAACAGACATTCCGATGTTCCTTAAACGGTCCTACATTCAGCGCCTAAGTCACGCTTCGCCCGCAACAGTTTGTTTGGGAACGAAAAAATTTAATTAAAACTTCATTAATTTATTCAAAGAAACACCATTCAAACACAGAGAGAGATTTGCAAAAAACACAACACGTCACTATCCGTGAGAGTCAGAATGCAACGCAGTGAAAAATTAAAAAGCGGAAACATACGTCTACAACGCAGCGCACTCCCCACATTGATATGAGTGACTTCATAAATGTTAAAACATCGTTAGCATACAAGTGCAGTGAAAAAATTACATCACCTGGCGAAACGAAAGCAAATTAACAAGACCAACGACTAAACACAAGTTTCCAAAGATAGATCTAACAGTGTTTCAAACTTTAACTCTTCACACATAGTCCGCAGTGGAGGCAAAAAGCGATATTCACACCGCACACTCTCACTTATTCTCACACCCCATACATATACGGAGCATCTAATCACACAGCATCCCAGAACTAAATATTTTCACCATATATTGAGAATCGAAAAATCCAGGACGAAGGACTAGGGAGCCTACAGAACCTTGTCAGAGTCAATCACATCCTCACTGAACACACACTCACGCATAACATCTCACTTCGTCAGCAGACAAGCCTATCTTCTCCAAGCGAAGAGACCGCATTGGCCTGAAAGTTCACAAATTATGATGTTAAGCACACAACGCACACACATAACTGAAGGTAGCTTAAGTGCAAAACCAACCTTGGTTTTCAAACGTTTGCCCTATCGAAACCGAGGATTCGACAAGTTGAAGCCACAGAGTAGAATTATCTAATAGACCTTTTCCCTCGAAGAAAGTGTTCAGATCCACCACCAACTAATAACTAACGAAAAGGGTGTCGTTTTGGAAATGCGAAAAAGTGAGGTCTCGCGATCCAAGAATGAAACTCTGAAACTGGAAAAGAAAGAATGAAAATCTGCAAGTGCACAGCACGGCAGCTCGCCAGAGCACCACCCACACACCATTTGAGAGAATGTTCACGAGCCTAAATCACTTCATGTGTGTTATACTAGAAAGTGAAAGAGAAGAAAAGAAAACAACCGAAGCGGTCTATGGAATGAAAACTGGGATAAACACAGGTCAAAATCAACCACGCGCCGATTACTTAACAGGGAGACACGGTCCCCCGGCGAAGACAGTTTATTGCGCTACGAAGAGAAGAAACGAAAACTTCAAGATTTATAGCATACAGGCACGAGACCTAATTGATCTATTATGGAATTATCATCGTTCTGAAAAAAACAGTAAAATAAGCCATCAAAACGCCCCCCGATCAATTGTAGTTACTCTGGACGAGAGAATTAAACATCTGCAAAATGCTGAAAGCAATAGCCATTTTGAAACCAGTGATCGAGAAAGTGATCGCATGAGCATCGCAGCGTTGCTAAATGGAACCCGTGATAACCAACGCTAAATCGCCTTGCTTCCGATGACACTCAGGCCATACGGTAGAGCGCACTTATCCCCGGACTTGGCGCCGTTGCCGCGTGCGATGCGCGGCGGTGTGCGGCCGTCGGTTGGCTTGCCGGCACGATAGTAATTCACTATTTAACGAGTCCCGCCGGCAATAACTCCAAAAGAAGGAGAAGAGTCATGAGCCACCGGCTCAGGATGTTACGCCAGTGTTAAACCCATTCGTGACAATGTCCGCCACTGTGGTGGACACCGAAATGTCCACTTCGGACCATGTCCACCATATGTGGCGGACGAGCTTTTGATGAACACACACAGAGAGAGAGAGAGACTTCGTGATCTTGGGCACGAGAACAACCTATCACACTACAGGAGCACGAGTTCTTGAACCCTTTGTTTGATTATGCAACCTAGTGACCAACGAGATCTCAGATATAAGCGTCCCAGGCACGCTTTAACTAACAGCACTGAGCCCAGAACCTCTGAAAAAGATTTCCTGAAAAGTGGCCCATAGGGGTTACTCAGTGCTCCCCGATCAACGAGTGACCCGACGCCGTTTACCTGGGGCGACGGCGGTGTTTGACGCCATTTGGCACCATTAGGTGCCAATTTGGCGCCACCACTTTTTTCATCAAAGCCACAATGGTGCCAGGTCACCACAGCCTTTTTTCACGCCCAAAACTCAAGGAAAAAAGTTTACCTACTCAGGCCTTTTGTTGTCTGGTCAAAAATACCTAGACCCGATCTCCACCTACCACTCCACCAGCCCATACTGAGTGCCAATGGGCGCCAATTTGATGCTATCGCCTCTTCCACCCAAATTGATGTCAACTTGGATACTAGAATTATTCGCTGTTCTTATTATTGATATGACATTCATTTTTAGCAAGAACGAGCGTAGGGCACAAGGGTTGTCAATGCGATGCTGAGGTTGAGCTTGCCTTAGAAGGAGGAAATCACTCCTCCAAAGCTACAGCCCTTTCAGAGCGCAACATGACCATAACACAGACTCTTCTTGAGATAAAAACCAATTTCTATTGGTGATCGGGGCTTCCCCCCCCCCCACCCAACCGAATCGAGCTCAAATGCAGAACACTACGACTTTAGACATCTAGAACAAGCCTACTATCGACCAATATTTCTTTCTATAATGAGACGAGTTGGCTTAGCAAGTCGTTATCCTGAGTTTTTTGACATTTGACACAAGTACACTCCTTATCCCTGAGCACAGATATGCGTGCATTCGAAGCACGAATGGGTTACTGCGTTGGGATTATCCAGGTTTGGACAACAATCATCTTGCTCGTCTGTTGCCGACAGAGACAACAACAACAATTGTGTCAAGATGAATTGATCCACACCAGCATAAACACCTCCAGGTTAAGTTGAAACATGCGGCCACGTCTACCCGATCTCAGGGATTTCGAGTATACCACTTCCGCTCGGCTCATTTTTGAGGAAAAAAAGTTTCGCACTAAATAAGCGACACATGGCGTCCAAATGGCACGGAGGACAGAAAGAATGTCATTTTTCGTGGCCTGATGGTACACCCTGCCCAACTCATATTGGTTCAGTGAAAGAGGGAGATTCGGAGCAGAAAGTGAAACAGTGCTAAAATTTTTAGTAAAGGGCCACGAGGGACCGTGTCCACCCCTGGTGGCGGACACTTGCCGAGAGCTCGCAAATGCTCCGGTCCGAACGAGCCCGTTCAAAGAAAGCCTCTGGTCCGCGATGGATAAAGGAATAGTCGCAGATGGGTTTGGAGACATCACGTGCGTTCTGCGACACAGCCAGCTGTGGTTCCGTGATCAAGCATATTAAATGAAAGTCGACATGTCCTACTGCAGCTGTAGACGGGCCAATTTCCTGTTCTCGAACGTCACTGACAGTAAGCTGGAACTGGTTGTAGGGTCTGTCCTATTCAGGTCGTGGTTTCGTCTAGCGTCTGGCTGATCAAATTTCCAGCAAAAAGTACAAGATGGTCAAAATATTCCTGCAGATAAGCAGAGAGAATATGCAGCACAAGCGTGGTTGCCTCTTCTACAAGAAAGTAGCGACGCTAGAGAGCCTGCACGCTTTTTTTTGTAACATTCTGCCATGCCAAAACAGGAGGCATTCACACTCACTCCAACAGGGTAACGGATACTTCGCTTTTTTCACTCAACTCTTAAGACCTGAATTCGAACGGGTGGCCTCTGTGATTGGTTCTCCATTCAGCTTCAGTTAACTCCAGCAAACACCAGCGCCAATTTGAGGGGAAACTTCCGGGATGATGAAAGGTGCACCTATGCATTCAAGTGCGTGTCCAAATTGCTCTGGACATCTTCAGGGGCTCGTCAATAATCACAGGGCTCACCAGGACGTCCTGCTGCTCGACTAAAATTTCCCAATTGCTCAGTGCTAGTTGCGAGCCTCTGTTTTATTTGCTGCTCCAGTCGCATACGGGAAAAATTGAAAGTAAAGCTCATGATGGCTTCAGAGCCAGTGAATTCTTTGAGTCATAGCTTCCTGAATTCCCAACAAGAGGCAGATCAGATATTACTGGGATCTCTGGCGCATATGCTGTTCCTCTCCAGGTCTAGTGCCTTGGAGAGAAATGAAGAAGATTGAAAACGTTTTCGCTTTGCCAGCGAGTTCTAGTCAAGCTAATAATTCAGAGATAACATAGAGAGAGTGAAGTGAGCTGTCTTCTCAAAACGATGAGACACCCTTTTAGAGGTCACCCCGGGTTTTCGAACAATCAGTCAGAATCGCGCACTGATTGATGAGCTTCGAGCTTTATTTTCAGGTTCCAAGTTCCTTTCCTAAACCATTCATTAGAGATTCATCACAGCGATTCTGTTGAGCAGCGTCTCAGTCATGGTCAGACCAGTACGGCCATCCATTTACGGACAATAATCATTGGGGCCTAAACCAGCCTAATAAGTGTCATCAGCTTGACAGTATCGGTCCCCAAATGCTCTTGCACAGACCAGCTGCATGTTCGAAGTCCCCAAAAATCTGAAGCACGTCGGGTTTTCAAGGCAATGATTAGTTCCAAGTACAGTCGTCTGCATGGGTAATGGGAGGTTATTCCACTCGCGAAGCGAAGGTTCAGGTCACCATTTTCTGCTAATTGTTGCATATATTGCGTTCGCCGTAGGTTGTACCAGCTCGCCCTTACAACTGACCGACTTCGCTAATGACCGCCGCTCACTTACCTCAGCCACTCAGTCACTCACTCTTCTTCAAATCCTGTTCAACGAAATCCTGTCAGTCTCCAGCTTGACTGAAAGGATTCAGGCTAGACCAAAGAGGACTAGATGGGACACAGCAATGTTTCGCCTTGCAGCAGTGCTACAAGTGATCTTGTGCTCTAGCGATATTCTCTATACGTTGAGAGGTGAGGAGTTTCGACCATTTTATGATAGGTTTTCATTACAGACAAGCATTGAGTTGAGCAAAACAACATAAAATCAATTTTTTGGGGGTTTTCTCACGTTTTCTCGTACTCGCCCTTTCGTTATGGATCTTTACCCTTACCATATCTTTCCACTTATTTTGCTTCTTTCTACATTAATAACCGAATTGCCAGAAAGTCTGATTGTGGGCGCTTTCTTAAAGAGCATGAGGCGTATTCACTGGTGTGTTTTCACTGGGTTTAGCACCAGTTCTCTAACCCCACCTCTCACAATCTGTAATCGCGCAGTCGACTTCCTCAGACCTTTCAGCTTGGCAATCCATTGTCGATATCGGTCCTTCACGCATGTCAGTGGTGGTGAGCTATGACAAAAAACCATTAAGTTGATCCGTAGCAGGGCCGAAGGCGGCCTTGGTGGTGAAGCGGTTTATACACCAAACGTGAGGTTAAGGTTCTAGCCCTGGATAGATTGAGTCTTCTGCCCATAACTGAGGCTCTTTAGAAATACATCAGGATTGCAATTTTGCTATGGAATCCAGCGGGTCCCGAGAACATGAGTGCTACTATTTCCCATTTAAGTCTCAATAGATATAAATAAGTTCTGGAACTTTCAGGTCAAGATGCACTGCGAAGTTTCCAAACGGTACGGCTTGAGTAACATTTACGGTATCAAATCGATGTTATCCAAAAAGGACCTCGTTCCGTTTCCGCTGATCTATGCCATCGACACAACAACAAAAAACCTTCGAAGTACCTTAGATTGACAGCACAAATCTCGCCGGAAGAAACTCTACGAGGATCCGTCAATGAATACGTCGTATCGGCGTTCATCCCCATTCATTCGGAAAAACGCTAAAAGCTATACGTTAATGGACGAACTGCGGCAGCACCCTTCGATCCCTTGTTCACAGGAGTGAGCACTCAGCGCAGATCGGGTATTCGATTCAAAATGCGTTGAGGTTAGTGATCATATGTTTTGGAACCGTAATGAATAGGGCTGGCGACAGCTACACTTGCCCACTGAGAGGTGGTAGAGCGTGATTGTTGTCACTCAGTTGAACATGACAGTAGGATAGCAGCGATAGTTCGATCTGACCTCATATTACTTGTTTTGTACAGGAGACATGGATCCAAAATATGTCTACCGAACGGTGCAGGTCTGAAGCCGCGTTGACATAGAGTACGA